TGCGGTTACCATTTAAGTTTAATATTATTCAGCAAATTCTGTAAATTCAGCAAAAATTCTGCGGTTACCATTTAGATCCTATATATCCGTTATGAATAAAGCTGTTGGAAATTATTTTGAACCAAATAGAATCAAACTGAAATCCAACGTTACCACTTCGATATGTTTGTATCTTTGTTATTGGGTATAAGATCTAAAAACGATATTATATTTTCCTTTCATAAAAAAACACATGTCATAAACAAATGTCAACAAATCATATCACACGACCAACCGAATATTCTCAATTTGAGAACTCGAAATAGATTGATCGGCAACTAACTAGCGTCTACATAGAATTTCTTTTCTTTCTGTTTATCAACAAAACATATATGTTTTACTCCCAAAAAACATATATGTTCACTTTTACGTGCTAAGATTTACATTACAACCAAGTGGTTATGGACAGTGTGGATTAGTGGTTTCCACTTGAGAAGAAATTGTTCTGGGTTTAGACGAGAGTTCAATTTCCTTCAAACGCAAAATTTTTTAACCACTCTCATTTGGCTAGTCGAAATGGTGTTATGTTTTAGACCCATTAGAAAACCTGGTGTGTGGGTTACTCGAAGGCTACATTCACCCTGAGAAGATTAGTCGGATGGTAAAAATCCGGATTACCTCCTAATTGTCAAAAAAAAAAAAAAGATTTACGCTACTTGTCAAAAAAGAAACATATTTTTACATCAACGTAATTAATTAAACATTAGAATTTTAACTAAATTAAAAAAAAAAACAATGTGTGACATAAATTTTCAAATCATTTTTCACCAAAAGAAACTTCTGCACACCGTTATACTTATTTGAAGCTAGTTGTTACACATCCCATCCAAATTTGATAATAACAAAACATATGGGTATAATATATTGCACAAGAAATGAAGAAAGGCCCTGAAAGAAAGTTAATTCGAGTGGGCTAGCTCTTTAGGCCCCCGATATTATGTAGCCCAAGAATTTGTCGTACATAAATGTGATTGTTTCGTGTAAGACAGAATTGCTCATTTCAAACTGAAATGTGGAATCCATATCAAATGTTTTTAAAATAAATGCAATGCATGTTTCGTAGTCGATAGACGTTCAACATAATTTAATAAAAAGGTACATGTGTTTACTTTTTTAAGTATGATATCAAATAATCGTATTAATGTATAATGGATGTTTTGTCATTGTCTGCCTTTGTCTTGGATCAATGAGATGGTCTAGAACATGAACGAAAAGATGGCCTTTTATTCAAATAAATTATAAGTATTCGACTATGTGTAAAGTAAACCATAACAAAAATATACAAGTAAATTAGCAAGTTGTTTCCCTATTAATACAAAAATGGAATCTTAACGATCCACTTGACGATAACTAAAGCAATCCATGCTAGTATAATCACCCACAAAGTGTAGGCTTCAATTATCTGTAAATGTATTCACCCAAACTTGTATATTCGACCATTGAACTTCATATTTGATTCTCTGTTGTGACCGAGAAGATTATACATTGCAATAATTCCGCTTATATCGGCAAATCCTAGAATTGTTTGTTCGAATGACATTTGAAAAAAGACTATACAAAATGCTATGGTTTTGACCTGATGGGATGCACGGATTTAGATCTATAACTTTTTAATATTTTTTAAAGATAATGAAAATAACCCTGCTTATAAACTTGACGGTTAACTGAACTATGAATCGAATGAAACTACACGAGARCAGAACCGGTCCTAGTTAGAAATACGAAAACATGGATTTTTGGCTGTCAACACCTTTATTTATTTATATATATAGGCCAATATTTGCTAAAATATCCATTAGTTCTACTGCTTGTGTTTAGAAAAAATGTAGAGACCAAAGTGGATGGAATTGATCACCATTATTTAAAAGACTTCGATTGATTGGATTCTTAGATCACAACAACACAATAAGTTATTTGAAACATAAAAACCTATTATATAATTAGAGACTTCTCTTTCCATCTAGAATGCCTATATAGACAAAACTAATTTTTGAAACATTTAAGTTTTAAAATGTTCATTTAATATACATTAAACCATATTTATTTGTTTTTATCACTA